ATGCATGCATGCGTGGATGGATGGATGTATGTATGTATGTATGTATGTATGCATGTATGCATGTACACATTGTAGGATACATATATACATAATATACCTATATGGTGGGTCGCATATGTACTTCCTATATTTCCTGTGTCTGTATCTATCTCTCTTTGCTTTGCATGTTGACACGAACTGTGCCATTGTACGTGTTGGGTTAGCTTTGACAGAGACGTCGCCTGCTTTCTGGACAGCAATACTTTGCATGTATATATAGCCCACCGCCCACGGTTGAGAGCTTGGGTCCCGTTGGGCTTATCCTATACTGTCTTTATGAGTACATACTTTGGTATCCTGTATACTTTGGCCGTAGAAGTGCTAGACGGCTAGCTTGCTGCTGCTGCTCCGGCAACCATGGAAGCTTGTGACGTACTTAATCACCAAGGGTTTACTGTGAGGGGATGGCGAGTTGCGCCTTGGACAGAATTGCAGTAAGAAGGACCTGGTCGAAAGATGCGCAAAGACCTCAACACACCAAACCCTCCAGCCCCAAAGACCGTGAGCTTAGCAAAACACCGCCCAAACCTAGAATATACTGTAATGCACTATAATATACTGCAACATACCACAATACATTATAATACGCGATACTAGAACATACCACACAAAACCATAATGCCCTAATCAGCCCAGCCACGTCTGAACCCTGCATTCCCCTAAACCCTACACCCTAAACCCTAAACCCTCAGCCCCTAAAACCTTAAACTCCTACCCTTAACCCTAAACCCCTAAACCCTAAACCCTAAACTCCTAACCCCTAAACCCAAGTGGCACAGGGGCCAGGCTCCGAAAGCCGGCGATGGCACGGCGACTGGGACAGCACCTCTGCGCCGGAGCTGTCGGGGGTTTAGGGTTGTTGTTGTTTAGCTTAGGACTTAGGGTTTCGGGTTTAGGGTTTTGGGTTTAGAGTTTATGTAGGGGCCTTGATAGTTACAATAGGGTTTAGGGTTTAGGGTTTATGTAGGGGCCACAATAATGACACTAGGGTTTAGGGTTTCGGGCTTAGGGTTTACGGTTGATGTAGGGGCCTTAGTAATTAGAATAGGGTTTTGGGTCCCATGATACTATATTTAGAATAAGGACCCTCCAAAACAATATAGGCAACTATTAAGTGCCCCTATAGTAACCTGATTCCACAATCCTGAACCCCAAACCGTAAATTCAAGAAAACCTCATCCTCAAGCCCAACGCCGAGAAGCGGATGACGCTGGCGGCGGCGTCTCCTGGGGAATCAACTTTCACTTTCTTGTTTAGCTTTAGGGTAACCCTAAACCCTAAACCCTAAACCCTAAACCCTAAACCCTAAACCGGGGTTTTGGTGTGCAGGCTTGGAATCAGCAGGGTTTAGAGCTTCAGCTTTAGGACTTCGGGTTTAGACTTAGGATGCACGGCGCTAGCAGGCTAGCACCTAGGACAGCCCCAGTTAAGGTAATGTAGGGGCCTGAATGACTAGAATAGGGTTTGGGGGGTATATTATAGTATAGCTATCATAAGGAACCCCCACAATAGTATTGGTAATTACTTAGGCCCCTATGCTACGTGAAAACCACAACCTAAACCCCAACTGCCAAGGCTGTGGGCAAAAATTTGATCATAACCCTAAACCCCAAAACACCTGTCAGATTCCGGGTTTGGGGCTGGGGCGTAGGGCTTTAAGGCTTTCAGGGTCTGAGGAGGGGCCCAGGCTAAAGAGCTTCATCTTGACCGCTGAGGGGCCCAGGCTAAATCTAAATCCTTTGTTAAGTTTAGGGTTTGGGGTTTAGAGTTTAGGGTTTAGGGTTTGGGGTTTAGGGTCTACGGTTGCCCTAAACCCTTACTTGATGAAATCCGAAAAAACCTAGACGCCACCACCTAAACCCGAAACCTAAACCCCAAACCCTGAAGCCTAAAACCCGAAACCCTAAACCCCCAACCCCTAAAACTTCCTAAAACCCCCAAACTACACCCTAAACCCTAAAGCGTGATCTTCTTAAAATCCCGAAGCCCCTAAACCCTAAACCCTAAACCCTAAACGCGCGGGAAGGATCCCAGGGTCCTGTAGCCCTCATCCGTGAGAAGCCCAAAGGGGAAGAGAGCCTGCAAAAGGGTTTTGGGTTTAGGGTTTTTTTAAGGGCCCCTTTTCGTGTCAGCAGCTTGCAGGGTTTAGGGTGTAGGGTTTAGGGTTTAGGGTTTAGGGTTTAGGGTTTAGGGTTTAGGGTATATAAAGGATCTCTAAGGGTTCCTGTAAGGGATCTTTAGGGGTTCCTTCAAGGGATCTCTAAAATTTCTGTAAGGGATCCTTAGGGGGTCCTTTAAGGGATCTTTAGGGGTCCTTTAAGGGATCTTTACGGGTTTGGGGTTCGGATCTATGACGACATGTTGCAGTATGTTATGGAACATAAAGATAGATAAACAAGTTAGTTAGATAGATAGATAGATAGATAAATAGATAGATAGATAGATAGATAGATAGATAGGTAGATGGATATGTAGGTAGATAGATAGATGATAGGTAGATGGATACGTAGATAGATAGATAGACAGACAGACAGATCAGAACCGAATGCACTGTACATTGCAGCTTGGGGCTCCGGTTGACGGTTACAGGCTTACCCTGAACGTGAGAACCTGAAGGGTTATTTAAAAAATGGAACAGGGCTTCTATTTACGGGTTTTTTCAAGGGTTTGAAGCCAGAGGTATATAGCGACTAGTAGCAACTTTTCCGACACCCACGACCCGAAACCCCAAACCCGCAAACTCTCTGCTATGCCTGCCGACGCTTCGTTCTAGCCAGACCCTGCCCCCCTTGATCGGTTATCAGTGATCGGTAGCAGTTGGGCCCTTCTTCGGACAACCCCTAACCACAGGAAGTACTTACTGGGAACCTGATCCGTCCAATGGAGCTTTCAGCAAAGAAGTTTACGACTGAGGGCTGGGGGTGTAGGGTTTATCGTGCTCCTTACAAGGACGCCTACACTGCAAGGCAAGACAATGCAATGCAAAGTGAGCGATGCCACGAAGATCTGCTCCCACGGTTCTGTGGGTGCAGGGTTTTGGATTTGGTCTGTGTTGGATTCGTCCCCTAAACCCTAGACCCAGCCCTAAACCCTAAACCCTAAACCCTAGACCCTAAACCCTTAAAGTTTGGGGCCTGACGCCTAAGGCTTGGGTTGCTTAGGTTCGGGGTTCAGGGAATTAGGTTTGTGGACCAACGCAATGAAACCTCAAGCCCTGCACCACTGGGCTGTCAGAAGACGAGCATTCAGTTCGGTAAGCCGAGATGCTCTAGGTTTCGTTTCGGGTTTGGTGTTCAAGGCTTTGGGATTCGAGTTTGCCTAAACCCTAAACCCTAA